TTTTTTGCCAACTTCGAACAAAGAAGGCTAACAATTTGACTGAAAAATATACAAACACAAAAACATTTTGTGTTTGTATATTTTTCGTTCGTATATTTATCTATGTATGTTTGAGTGTATGTATGATGAGCGGATATAAATAAATAAACACAAAAATAGTTTATGCAGTAAATGATCATACTATGAGTTTAGTTCGAATACCATCATTATTCTAATTAATTCTTTTTTTCTTTTTCGATCATAGAACCAACAGCATGTTACAAATATAAACAAAAGTGCTTTGATAATCCTTAATGAACAAAGGTTCTTACTTTATAACATATACAATATACTTAAAAAATATACGGTATTTAAAAATATTTAAAATTATTTATTTTTGAAGATTGTTTTGCTTTGGTGGAAAATGTCAATCGAAGAAAATTATTTATTGTAGCTTTTAAGTATGCAACATATTACAGAATTCTATGCATAATTTGAGTGACAGAAAATTTGAGGACATGGAATAACGAAGTATTTATAGTGTGTTTTGTAAGTGCTTGCAATTGTAAAGTGCAGGAAATTAATTTGTGGTTATCAATTTTGTTACGGCAGATATCATCTACAGTAGAGTGCGGCGATCTTTCAGTTGTATTAATTTAAAATTATAAGATTCCTTATAATTTTTTAACCCTAACTTCAGATCATAAATTCAATGCGTTAATAAACTTTATTTCTATTCGTTCTATTTCTTGTATTCATGTTATGTAATTTGGGTTCCTTGATACACTTCTATATTCCAGGACGATACACACGTAAGAATAATATAATACCTTTATATGTGTGATAAAGGTTGACAAACTCGTAATACAATGCCAAGACGTTTGCCAACTTTGCCGAGATATAATCAGATATCACCATTTTTAATCAAAAACTACTCCGAGGTCTTTGGTTTTGCCAATGTATTCTAAGGGTGCGTTGTTGAAATAGTATTGAATTATAAATTTTCCTTTTGCGAGTAAAGTTAATTTGAAAAAATTTCAGGGCAGTAGTTGCAAAATCGATAGGTATAAATTGTTCCGTAGTTTATAAGCATCTAATTCAGATTTTTTGTATGTGTAAATTTTCATGTCGTCAGCGTACATCAGGAACTTAGTATAATTAAAACAATTGCCCACATCGTAGAAGTATACTGTATACAACAACGGCCCCTATATTGAACTTTGTGCCGAGCGGTATTCAGCCACAATGACTACCCGTGAGCGATTACGCAGATACGATTCCATCGATTGGAGAAGGTTAACACGTATTCGTAACTCCTGAATTTTTATCTTTAGAAGGATGATATGATCATCGCGGTCGCAAAACTCGCAAACGCAAAATTAATTCAGCAACCACGAATGCCATGGTGTAGGGGGGGGGGGGGGGCAACTAATGGGTGTATTTGCATAAGGACTATTATTTCCATTACTTTACTTAATACATTCATTATTGATATTGGTCTATAATTCTCAATAACTGTTTTTGTTCCCTTTTTATGAATAGGTACGTTATTGGCGGTTTTCCAAATTTTCGGAAGGTATATTTCTTTAACACATCTATTATATAAAACTGTTATGGGAGCTGCCAACCACTTCTCACATTTAACAATGAAAATCGCCTTTAGTTATAATTTGCATTAAACCTTGTTCCACAAAAAGCCCCTGGAGGCATCGTAAGAGGTCAAATTTTGACTATGCGTCCCGAGTCATCATAAAATATGATAAGAAAATATAATAACCTGTTAGCTTACCAACGACGCAGTTTAAATGTGTAAGTTTATTTGAAATATTTTTCTATGTTGAGCGCTTAATTCTCTTGAAGATTTTGCCCCTACGTAAACCGTACCTCAAGGTTTTACTTGCAGTCACTGACCTGTTTCACATTAAAACAGGCGGGGCGGGCTGAGAGGCAAGGGGAGGGAGCTCTCTACCAATCAGAGGGCCGAACGAGCGGCAAAGCTTGCCGAGGAGGGGCGCCACCCAAACGATACGGCTCGGAAATCAGGCGAAGAAACAGATGCGACTGGCGGCTCCGAGGTGGAGCGTAAGGCCAGATTCGTAAAGGAGGTGGAGGCCGCGATCAAGGTCGTGGCCAACAAGCAAAAGTCCTTCTCGAAGTTCAAGGCCATTCCCGCGGCCTCCGCCTCCATCATGGCGGCTGAGGAGGCCAACTTTGCTGGGGCTGGGCCTAATGCGGACGAGGTGGCGAAGCTGCGGGCGGACGTGGCCCGCCTGACGTCCGCCATGGAGACTCTCCAGAAGGAGAATGAGAAGCTCCGCGCAGACCTGGCCAGTCTACATGAGCCTGCCTCTCGCGCGGCGCCCCAGACGCAGCGCCCAAGCCAGCCCGTGCCGGTGGAGAACCAGGTTCTGAACCTGGTCCGGCAGGAGCTGGCTGCCTTCCAGCACCGGTTCTCCGTGCTGGAGGGCATCGTCCTGCGCCCCCCCCCCCCCCTAGGGCCAAACAAGACGGCGGCGAGGCCGGCAACGGCTTCTTACGCGACGGTCACGGCTGCCGCATCCAGGCCGGGGCCGTCCAGCCAGCCCTCGGGTGGGGCTGCAGTTGCCCCTCCCCCCCTGAAAAGCCGGCTCCGGCAAAACCGATACCGGCTGAACCGGCTCCGGCTAAGCCGGCGACGGGAAAGAGAGGCAAGGCGAAGGCGAAAAAGGGCAAGGCGGCAGCACAGGTGATGGCTGCGCCAGTGCCTGCGGCGAATGGGCCAGTGCCAGCGGCAAGCCAGCTGCGGCAGAAGCCGGTTGGCAGGTGGTCGGGGACAAACAGAAGGGGAAGAAGGCAGCCAAAAAGACCAAAGAGCAGGAGCGGCAGCGCCAGTTCAGGGCGCGCAAGATCGCGGCTAGGCTCCGCGCCCCGAAGACCGCAGCTGTAGTGATTACACTACAGCCGGACGCGGAAAAGAAGGGCGTTACCTACCGCGATCTGCTCGCGAAGGCGAAAGAGGCGGTGGATCTCGGGGAGCTCGGGATCACTGTGGGCCTCCGGCTCAAAGTCACCCAGACGGGAGCCCGTATGCTGGAGATCCCCGGGAAATCCAGTGGCGCGACTTCGGACGCTCTGGCTGCGAAGCTCAGAGCGTCCCTAAACGCGGACGAGGCCCGAGTGTCCAGGCCCGTCAGATGCGCAGACCTGCGCATCATGGGTCTGGACGACTCGGTATCGGAGGAGGAGTTGGTGGCCGCCGTCGCCAGGCCCGGGGGGTGCACTACTGACCAGGTCAGGTCAGGCGCCATACGCCCGGATCAACAGGGTATGCATGCCGCCACGGTGTGCTGCCCTGTTACGGCGGCCAAAACCATAGTGGAGGGCCGAAGGCTTCTGGTGGGCTGGATCTCAGCGCAGGTTAAGCTGCTGGAGCCCAGACCTCTGAGGTGCTACCGCTGTCTCGTGGGGCATCACGTATCAGTGAAATGCGCCTCGGAGGTTGACCGCAGTGGCCTCTGCTTCCGCTGCAGTCAGCCCGGACACATATCGGCGACCTGCTGCGCCACGCCGCACTGTGATGCATGTGCGGCGACCGGCAAGCCAGCCGATCACTGGGCCGGAAGCAGGGCCTGCGTGTCACCCGCCAAGGCCAAGGCCGCGGGTAGGGGAGCGCCCTCCTCCGCCGCCACCGCCTCTATGGCCACCGCCGCAGCTGCAACTGCCGCCGCCGCCGCTGTCACTGTCGCCGCCGCCGCCGCCGCGACACCGACGCCTGCAGAGGGGCGCCCCGTGGAGGAAGCTGAAATGGAATGCCTATAACGGCCCCATTAAGCTTCCTCCAAGCGAATATCAACCACTGCGCCTGCGCTCAGGATCTGTTGCTCCAGAGCATGGCGCAGTGATCGATTAACATCGCTGTGGTCGCTGAGCCGTATTTTGTCTGGCCTAGGAAGGACTGGGTGGCGGATCTTAACGGCCCAGTGACCATCATCTCTTCGGCCGCCGCCGGTACCCCGACCCTTGAAGGTGTCAGGAGGGGTCAGGGGTGCGTAGCAGCACGTTTCGGGAAGTTCGTTGTTGTGGGGGTGTACTTCTCCCCGAACCGATCTCTCGCCGAGCTCCACAACTCTCTTGCAGAGCTGAGAGCAGTCGTCGTCGGAAGCTATCCCCTCCCCGTGGTTGTCCTCGGGGACTTCAATGCCAAGAACTTGGCTTGGGGTTCTCGTCGTACAGATGTGCGGGGTAGGATGGTGGAAGACTGGGCTCTGGAGACAGGCCTGGTCGTCCTAAATCGGGGTTCTGTCCCCACGTGTGTGCGGATGCGGGGCGAGTCGGTGGTGGACATTTCGTTCGCTAGCCCCGCTCTGTCGCCGCGTGCCATTGACTGGCGAGTCATGGAGGGGGTGGAGACCTACTCCGACCACCGGTACATCCGGTTTGACGTCTCCACCCAGCCCTCGAGCGCGCCAGTCCAACAGGCCCCGAGTGGTCCGCGTTGGGCGCTGAAGCAGCTGGACCGGGAGCTCCTCCTGGAAGCCTCGATCGTGCAGGCCTGGGTGTCATCACCGGATAGGCCTGCCGACGTCAATGATGAGGCAGGGTGGTTCCAGGAGGCCATGTCCGAGATATGTGACGTGGCAATGCCCCGTCTCCGGCCAGGAAGCGCCCGGCGCCAGGTGTATTGGTGGTCGCGTGAGCTGACGTCTCTGCGCGAGGCGTGTGTCGCCGCGCGGCACCTGTACGCCAGGCATCGCAGGCTCCGCATTCGTCCACCGAATGCGGCAGCCATTGAGGCGGAGCTGTACGAGGGATACAGAGCGACGAAGACCGCCCTCCGGGAGGCTGTCATGCGGGCCCGGGATCGGGCCCGTGAGGAGATGCTGGAGACTCTCGACAGAGATCCGTGGGGGCGCCCTTACAAGATGGTGCGGGATAAACTCCGCACCTGGGCCCCCCCGCTGACGCAGAATCTCCGGCCTCAGCTCGTGGAGGACGTGGTGAGCGCTCTGTTTCCTGCGCGAGGGGAACATCCGCCCCCGCCAATGGCTCCGCCACCCGCGGTGCCGGAAGCGGACCACCAGGACGACGACGACGGCATCCCGGAAGGGACCGGGGTAGACCTGAGAGTGGCGGTACGTAGGCTCAAGGCCAGTAATACCGCCCCAGGACCCGATGGCTTGCCTGGCAAAGCCTGGGTTCTGGCCTCGGAGGCTTTCGGGCCCCGACTGGAGGGGCTCCTAAGCGCATGCTTGGAGAGAGGCCAATTCCCACTTCGTTGGAAGACGGGGAAGCTGGTCCTCATTCGGAAGCCGGGGCGCCCTGCGGACTCTCCGTCCGCATACTGGCCCGTGGTGCTGCTCGACGAGGTGGGCAAGCTCTTTGAAAGAGTCATTGCAAACCGCCTCGCCGAGCACCTTGCGGGGACGGGGCCGGATCTTGCGGAAACCAAACAGGCGCTCTACGGTGGACGCCATCATGCGCGTGAGAGCCCTCACGACGGGGGATGCAGTGGCCAGGGGGGGGGGGTTGTTTTGGCGGTGTCTCTCGACATCGCCAACGCCTTCAACTCCATTCCCTGGAGCTGCATTAGGGAGGCACTCCGGTATCACCGGGTGCCGAACTATCTCCGTCGTATAGTCGGGGACTATCTGACGGATAGGGCCGTCATCTACCCCGGTCGCAACGGTGAGTGGAACCGGCGAGAGATGTCGTGCGGTGTCCCACAAGGTTCGGTTCTGGGGCCGCCCCTGTGGAACATCGGTTACGACTGGGTGCTGCGCGCCGACCTCCCTACCGGCGTCAGCGTAGTTTGCTACGCTGACGACACGCTGGTACTGGCACAGGGGAGGTCGTACGAGGCTGCGGCGGAAAATATGACACGCGGGGTTGCGATAGTCGTTGAGAGGATCCGGCAGCTGGGTCTTAAGGTGGCTCTGCACAAGTCCGAGGCCATGCACTTCCATGGTCCTCGGAACAGGCCACCACCGGGATCCTCAGCGATGGTAGGAGAGGTATCCATCGGCGTCGAGTCGACGTTGAAGTACCTAGGACTCGTCCTCGACGGCCGATGGAACTTCGTTGAGCACTTCCGACGTTTGGCTCCCAAACTGGAACGGACCGGGGCTGCCTTCAGGCGGCTCCTGCCAAACCTGGGGGGGCCAAACGCCTCCTGCCAGAGGCTATACGCGGGGATTGTGCGGTCCATGGCCCTTTACGGGGCCCCGGTGTGGGCGCGTGGTTTGGCGCGGCTTGCCGTCCACCACCTGAACGCGCCCCAAAAGGTGGTTGCCGTAAGAATGGTTCGCGGCTACCGCACGATCTCCCGCGAGGCAGCGTGCCTCCTTGCCGGATTGCCGCCATGGGATCTGGAGGCGATAGTCCTCGCGCGCCTGCACGAATGGCGCGCGGAGGCACTATGCCGGGGGAAACCCCGCTGCCGCGGCAAGTTGTCGTGCAGCGGACAGACTTCCGGCATGATCTCATGGCGACATGGAGAGAGCGACTGTCGCAACCCCGTGCTGGGCACGCCACTATAGCGGCGATAAGACCCCTCTTTGAGGAGTGGCTTGAGAGACGCCACGGCGTCTTCACCTTCCGCCTGACGCAGGTACTCACCGGACACGGTGTGTTCGGGAGGTTCCTGCACCGAATCGGGCGGGAGGAAACGCCCGGGTGCTCCCACTGCGAGGATCGACTGGAGGACACGGTGGAGCACACCGTGGAGGTGTGCCCTGCCTGGGCGGAGCACCGCCGTGTCCTCGTAGCGGCGATAGGCGGCGGTGACCTCTCGCGTCCGGCCCTGGTCGAAGCCATGGTCCGGAGCGAGACGGAATGGGATGCCGTCACCACCTTCTGCGAAGCTGTGATGCTAGCGAAGGAGGTGGCGGAGCGGGAGAAGGAGAGAGCAGCAGCTTTCCTTCCCGGCTGCCGCGGGAGACGCCCCGGGCGTCGGGGGCTACGTCGTGGCCACCGGCCACCGTAGGCGCGGGCCTGTGGACGGCGAGCAATGGGTAGCGCGCCGTCCGTCCGTCTAACGACGACAGGCCGTGTCGACGGCGCGTTTTGTTCCACGCACGCCTCAAAGAGCTGTCAGCAGCGTGAAGGGGCCCGCAAGGGCCGACGCCTGCCGGGGCTGCGGGCTGTTCGAAAGAGATACCGCGGCCCCGTAACGTAAGGGCGCTGAAGGAACACGGATGGTTTTTAGTCAGTAAAAGTCTGACACTCCCTTCCGCTCCACCCAGAGCGAAAGGCGTCATTTGATGATTTTCCATCCGCAAAAAAAAAAAAAAAAGATCACTGACCTGTTTCACATTAAAACAGTCATGTTGGAATAAGCACCACGTAACCAATTGTTACTGTACTAATTTCTATTCTCTCTTTTCCAATAAAACTTCAACAAAATGATTCATCTTACTCCGCTGTCCCCTCGTCAGTGGTTCTTTTACATGTCGTTGCCTTTACGATTCGATAAGGGAACTATTAAAATTTGGGCAACTTTTATTTTGAGCAATAAATTTAACTCATAGTATCTGTTTTGACCAAATTTTATTTATATTAATATTACTATAAATATGGCATTTTATTATAAATATGGCATATATACATTAATATATGTTATATTTATAATAATAAAGATACATAAAACAAATATTGTATTTGATCTTCTTCATAATTTTTATTTAACATATTTATATATCCAAATCGTTACAGTTATCGTTCTTTTATAAGAGAGGGGGCAAAGGAGCATGTGGCTCACCTGATGGTAAGTGGCTACCACCGCCCATGAACAACTGCAACATCAGGGGAATTGCAAATGCGTTGCCGACCTTTTAAGAAAGGGTAGGCTCTTTTCTTTAAGGTCCTTCAGTCGTATCGGTCCGGAAAAATCGCTGGTGGTAAACGATGTTCCACAAGAAAGTAGTGCGACGAAAAAAACTTCTCCTAAATCCCACAGTGGTGGACCACCAATCATCCAGATGGTATGGATGGTATCGCGAGTTTACTCGCGATTTGCGATGGTGAAACTTAGCAGCTGGAATTAGTCCGAACAATTCGTCAGAGCACTCCCCGTGATAGATGCGATAAAATACGCAAAGAGATACAACATCTCTACGCAGTGCCAGTGAGTCATGCCGATCGGAAAGAACTCGCTCGTCGACAATTGGGACCGCTATGCGCTGGATGCGGTCAAGTGGAAGGAGCTGGCACTGGGGAGTCCCTGACCAGAGATGGGAACAGTACTCCATGTGACACCGAACCTGTGCCTTGTAAAGTTGCAAACGGTGTGCCGGCATGAAATACTACCCCGCTCTGCTGAGCACGCTAAGCTTTTTAGAGGTTAATTTGGCCTTCTCTTCCAAGTGACCACGAAACTCCATGTCACTCGGTATGTCGACACCGAGGATTCCGATACTGGTTGAGGCAACAAGGGAAGTGCCTTAAAACTGAGGAGATGGCAAAGGGGTTCTTTTTAGCGGCAAACGCGCAAACTTGTGCCTTCTGGGGATTAAACTGGACTAGATTTAGTCGCCCCCAGTCTGAGACTTTGTTCAGCAAAGACTCGACTTCAGTCACAAGTTTGTTCCGGTACTCGGCGACGTTTTTCCGAGAAATATTGGCACGGCTGGTGTATAAAGCATCACTAGTGCTGTCGTCTGCATAGCAATGAATGTTACCGGTTTGCAAAATGTCATTGATATGCAGGAGAAACAGCGTTGGTGATAATACGAAGCCTTGTGGAACACCAGCGTTAATGGGCTTGTAATCGGAGCAAGCTCTGCTCATACTCTTATCTGCAAGAGCACTGGTGATCCAATTGCACAATTTCTCGGGATGCCCATAGGAGGGCAGCTTCTAAAGAAGCGCTTTGTGCCAAACCCGATCGAAGGGCTTTGCTATGTCCAAACTTACGGCCAACGCCTCCCCCTTCGACTCTACTGTAAAATAACAGCGTAACGCTGCTGTGTTTCGTATGTAGAGTGTAGAGAACTGGAGACCATTTTTACTAGAAATGAGGCATTCCATCTTAGTCTTCACGGGTGACGACGCATCTTTATTTTGATTCGTGATCGAGGATAGATGTCAGCTCAGACTGTGTACAGATCAGACTGTGTGCTTGCTTGTCACTCTTATCCTTTAAAAAAATCCTGTGGACCTAGGACCTACAAGTGGCAATCGCTCCGTGTCTAATCCATTTCGAAAATCGATTTCGTCTTAGCAATATCGAACGTAAAGTGGGAGACAAAGTGACGTCGGTAAACCCAATGCTAAGTCGAAGCGTCATACCGACATCATCGGTGTTCAATTGACCAGTCTTAAAAAAAAAAACATCTCTGTACTCCATATATATCGGCACCTAATTTTTTCTTACATAAGTATTTTCTTTTACGATCTTTGTTTATAGGGCAACTTAAGCATCTCTTTTGAGCACTAGATCTTCTTGATAGGCGTTTTGTTGAATTTTTAGGCGAATTATCAAAATATTTAGCAATTTCATTACGTAGGTCCCTTGGAAACTTTTTGTTCTGGAGTTTAAGTGTCCTTTTACCAAAGTAATACCACAAGGCAAGTGAATAATAATGTTTTCGGCTCTACATTGCTCCTGTATGGTTCTATTTGCCACTTTGTTGTCTTATCTGTGCCAGTATAATACCTTTGTCTAGAGGGGCGAAGCTCTGAAAGTGCTACATCGTCGTTACTGTCAAGATCGGAAGAAAGTATTTTTGCATCCAGTTCGCTGTTCTTGTCACTCTGAATACACAAATGTTCAGATTCACCTTCAGATCCCGGTTCTGAACCTCCAGATTCAAACTCAAAGTAGTGTCATTCGTCTAAAAGTGCTTGTAATATATCAGCTTCCTTGATATGAGACATTTTTCATATAAAATGTTATCCTTAACGAATTAAAATCCATTTAAAATGATAAACAAACATAAATTAAACACACAAATTATATAATACCTAAATTACCTTTTTAACAACGCACCTTACGAGGTGGGGTGTGTGACGCCCACACGCACTTTAAAGGTGTATAGCTCGTTTGGCGGCTGCCGCTGGACTGACTCTGATCGAAGAAGCAACGTCGCAATTCTAGCTACTGAGAAACCAAACTTCGGCGCGTCCACAGTTTTAAAATTGAAATATGAAATTTGAAGAACTGTGGTTTGTCAAACTCCGCTTGGTGCACGGACGGGTAATAACTTGTAAAAGTAAAATTTGCTTGTTGAAAGTGAAGTTAATGGTAATAAAATTAACCAGTTAACTAAAGAATTCAAAGATAAGTTCCTTAACTTCGTAAAATAATTGTGAGTGCCAAAATTACACAGTTTTTCTGAATATTATTGATTGTGAGTATATTACATATTTGTAACGATAATGAATGACTATGTAAAAATTAATAATTCAAAATTCTTTCTTCCACGCTTTTCTTCGTTTTAGTTTTTTAAAGGTAACTGAGTTCTTTTATTCTTACATTTCAAAGCGCAACACGCGAGTCATAATCATACATTTGAGCCATTTTTACGCTTTCGTACTAAAGAGTAAAACGAAGCTCTATTAATTTGAATAAACAGGAATTTGGATATTTGTTGAATAAGGAATCTACTATATTTGTTTATAGTGTACGTAGAGAAAAGAAATAAATGAAAAAGAAACCGGACAAATTTTTTTGTTACGAAGTTCCTTATCGGACGGTACGAATTTTTTTAATAAATGCTTATTTTTTAATAATATAATTTTCAATGTAAATTTAAGAAATAAAATCCAAGTCATTTGCAATCTTCATCAATATTTTTTTATATATTGCAGTTTTTAAACAAAAGCTAAGATATATATTAGGTCTCATACACATCATTCGAGGAACTAAATTTAAAACACAATTTTGAGTGACGCTTAAACATGAATTTCCACAAATATTGGAGAGCCAACTTTGTTCTCGTCAGTTTCTAAGTAAATTCAACAACTATGTCTCTTTTCGCACAAGTTGTTCTCATTAAAATAATTTAATTACTTTTTAAGTACGATATCCCGTATATTTAAAATTATCTTGATGAAGTTCGTTCTTTACGTAGTAAAACCACGCTGCAGCTATATTATGATTGTAGGACGAATTTGTTGACTAGACCGGGGTAGGACCATGCTCTCACAGAATAACAGCGTAAAATAGCAGCTTAATGCCACTTGCTGTGTTGCGTATGATGAATGTAGAAAACCGGAGACCCTTTTTACCGAAAACGAAGCATTCCATCTCAGTCCTCAAGGGTGACAATGTATTTGCATTTTGATTTTTAATTGAGGTTAAATTTAGATGTCTATGGGCAACAGCATCCACTTACCATCCGGTGGACTGGACTGTGTGCTCTTTTTTCTCACAACAGAAGCGCAAGGTCGTTAAAAGAAATACATAAGTAGTCATTGAAAGTTTGAAACGAGAAAGTGTCGCAATTTTATGTATATTTCTAAACTTTTACTTCTATTCCCCTTTTAAATAAGTAAAAGTTCCTTTTTAATTTAATACTTGATTTTTTTGCATTTTTCTTTAGAAACTTCAAAAGTACTTTGTTGGTTATGCTATAAGACAAATTTTAAGTGCAATTCCTCTAAAAGGAAAGGGGCAAAGTAGTTCTAGATTATAAGTGCGCTCGCTTACCTTAACACAAGCATACATTATGATCGAATGAGAATACAGATACTGAAAAACCATCCTTTTTTTGTTGGACGCACCAACGATGGAGCAAGCCGTTCGAATTGATGGATTTACGTCAAAGTATGTTGGAGACTCACAAGTATTCATTCATTCATTCAAGTACTCATTAATCATGACGGAAGGGATAAGAGAGGACTTACGTTATCTACTTCCTGTGCACACTAAAATTCGTCAAAACAATCTGACAAAAGTTTACGAATAAGCCTCTTAACACGCCTCTTCACAAGGTCTACCCACGTCACATTTTATATGGTAACAAAAATGAAAAATCACGCTTTATATAGAATTATACACAAGTACAATAAAATATATTTTTCTTAAGTTTAAAAATTATCGCATTATCGTATCATTTAAAAAGAGTAACAAAAAGTTGTCAAGAATTACGGCAGTGTTATATTGGGTATTTTAACAAAGATTATTAGTTAAAGGAATTAGGATTATTAACAATAGGAATAGTACGAGATTTGTTATGGCATTAATCATAAAGCAAATTGTTTAAAATTTTTACGTCTCAATTCTGATGTAAATAAATAGGTTATAATTATCAACATTGTTCGTAAGATAAACTATTAGGACCACCTTTGAAGTGCATAAGGTAGCTCATTTTTTGTGAATCTCTTCAAGAATTAAAATAAATATTCGAATTATAAAAAGACAAAAACCCAAATTGTATTTCAGTTGGGATCGAATCAACATTTTATGACAATGCAGGAAGTTGTAAATTTTGTGCTGAACCTCATAACAAATCTATATATTTCAAAGTGTTACTTACTATAACATTGTACAATATTGTTTATTTGTATACCACCATATAGCTTACTATTATTCTGAGACTTCTGAATATTGAATCAACAGTATCAAGATTTACACCTCATCATCTACATATGAAGTTACTTCTCATTTTGGTGATGGTGATAGCTTCGCATTTATTAATTAAGCTTGACTTTTTTGCTTAACAGACGCAGCAAATATCAACTTGTGACGATGGATTAACTTGAAATAAATTAACCAATAGGTTCTTAAAATTATTTATTTCAAAATTAAGTTATTTATTATCTTCTTATGTGAATATACTAAAAAATAATATATTACAGAAATTGCCAGAATATATTGACATAACAGAATCTTTTAAATAAAATAGTTAAGATTTCCTTAATATATCTGTGCCGCACTTTATGCACGTTGTAAATCAGCGCTTAAAATTCAGACTTCACGTAGTTTTTACTTGATTTATAGTATTGAAATAAGTCTAAAATAACCAACTTTATAAATGAAATTCCTGCCAAGTAGTGCTTGAAACAGCACTGGAAACTTACAGTTTAAAAATAGTTTTGTCGCAATTTTCTTCGACCTACATTTACAACGTGAGACTGAATGAGGTTTACAATTTTTGTTTGTATCGTTGAAGCGTTTTTAAAAAAATAAGTTTCATATTTTATCAATTTGCATATTGTTTAATAAATAGTATTAATGCATCCTCAATATTATAAAATGCTTCGAAATATTTTCTTTAAATCACGATTTAATTGTGCTCGTATAGTCTGCATTAAGCTTATGTTAATAAACAACATAACGGACTTTAAGAACGTACATACATACATACATATAATCACGCCTCTTTCCCGTAGGGGTAGGCAAAGACCAGTTCTTTCCACTTGCTACGATCCTTACATACTTGTTTTGCTTCGTCCACTTTCATTATTCCCTTCATACATGCTCTACAGTTTAGGGTACTCTTGACCTGGCCTTTTTTCAAGACCTCGCTGATTTGGTCTAGAAATGTCCGCCTAGGTCTACCCCTTCCAACACTTTCATTCACACTCGCCTTATACACTTTTTTCGTCAATCGTTCTTCATTCATTCTCTCGACATGGCCAAACCATCTCAGCATACCTTTCTCAATTTTTGTCACTACATCTTCTTTCAGACCACAACGTTTCCTTATCTCACTATTTCTTAGCCTGTCACTCAGTTTAACTCCTATCATACTTCTTAATGCTCTCATCTCAACTGCATTTATTCTGCTTTCATGTTTCTTTTTTTTTTTATAGGATAAGGGTGACAAACGAGCACACAGTCCACCTGATGGTAAGTGGTTGCTGCGGCCCATAGACATCTACATCTATCCTCTGTTACAAATCAAAATGTTGATGCGTTGTCACCCGTGAGGACTAAGATGGAATGCCTCATTTCCAGTAAAAAGGGCCTCCGGCCACCTGCACTCACCAAGCGAAACGCAGAGGTAAACCTCTACTTCACGCTGGTTTTCTGTGAGGTCGTGGTACTACCCCGGTTCGAGCCGGCCCATCCGTGCGACAGCAACAGCTGCCGCGTGGCTCTACCACTGTTTCTTCTGGCATACCCAAGTTTCACTTCCGTACATGAGTGTCGGAACCAACACCCCCTCATGCACAGCCAAACGAGCCTTGTTAGAAACCTTCCGACTGCTCATAAAGGAGTGCAAAGCTCCATTCACCATGTTTCCTGCATTCACTCTTCTTTCGATATCACTCTCACACTTTCCACCTCTTGTAAACTTTGAACTCAGATACACAAACTCTTTCACCTGTTCAATTTGTTCATCTTCAATCACAATGTTGCAGTCTGTCACTGCCTCATCTTTTTCAAACACCATCACTTTCGTCTTCCTTACATTTATCTTCATTCCCTTTCTAACAAAAGCTCCACTCATAGCAGTAACCATCTCCTGCAACTCCTCGGCCGAAGACGCAAGTAATACTTGGTCATCAGCATAGAGAAAACATTTGACGAGTAACTCATTCATTCTCAACCCACTTTCATTCTCTTTTAAATCTGTCAAACAATTGTCCATGAACAGATTAAACAGCCACGGTGACGCTACACATCCCTGTCTAACACCTTTTTCGATATTAAACCATTCAGTGTATGCCCCGTTTATCCTTACACAAGCACTAGAATCCCTATAAAGAGATTGCATTGCTCGTATGAGGATACTGCTCACACCGTTCACGGACAGTGCTGACCACAATTCATTCCTCACCACTCTATCATAGGCCTTTTCTAGATCTACGAACGCGCAGTAGACTTTCTTGTTTTTAGCCAAATACTTTTCGGCTATGCACCGCAAGGAAAAGACCTGATCCGTACATCCCATTCCCTTTCTAAATCCCGCTTGTGCGTCCCATACTTTCTTGTCTGTTTCATTCACAATCCTTTCAATCAACACTTTCGCATACAATTTACCGACGACGCTGAGAAGGCTTATACCGCGGTAATTTATGCAGTCCTGCCGTGACCCTTTTCCCTTATACAATGGCACGATTACGGCTTTGCACCAGTCTCCCGGTACTTGCCCATTTCGCCAGCACAGATTGAAAAGGCGGTACAGCTGACTAGCCACCAGGCCCTGTCCAGCCCTCAGCATCTCGACGGTAATCCTGTCATACCCTGCAGCCTTACCTAATTAAGAACGTGATAACGAGTATATCCGTTACCTTCTTCATCAGTCTGCAAAAAATCACTGCTTACATGGTCCTGCGCTGTATGGCTAGAATTTGCTCAAATTTTCATGCTTGGCAGATTGATTGACGATCGTAGTACGAAACGTTGCTTACATTTTATGCTGCCGGGGTATTTTATGCCTGGCCTAAACTAATTTTTTTACTGTTTATCGAAAGCCATAAGATCTTTTAGCATAACCCGTTGTCGCCTTCACCAGCACTCACGGGATGGAATGGGTGATTAAACCAATTTTATCTCACTTATTAAACAACGTGATTATTTTATGGGCAGCTAAGAAAGCTTAACAAACTAACTACACTAAAACAAAATGTAAAAGCGTTCAGAAAAATGCGTTATTTTTCCGTTTCGAATTTAGTGCTGCTTCATTTATTTTCAATTGTTTAATGCTTTAGTCGTGCGAATCATGAACAATATTTATTAATCAGTACACTACTATTTTTGTTCTGATAAAATAATATCCTCCTGACCAAATTTTGGTCACGGCGCCAGTTTCAACGGAAACTAGCAATTTGCGCAGGACACCACAATAACTAGAGCACGAGTGTGAGCACAAGCTTTCGCTTTGTACGATGGTAAATAATTCCAAAACGATCAGCGACCAGTGTCTTTACGTGCTTTCCGAGGCACGAGGTTAAAAATACCACCAAACTTTGACTTCAGGCTGCTACTGAGAATCTTGATAGAAAAACCAATAACTGAATGTGGTTCTACTTGGGATGCCAAACCAGAGCCACAACGTCAGCAGCCGCATTTACGACCACTAGGCCAACGAGACAGTCACTTTTCGATATACTTCTTGTTCATTAAGCTTAAATTTATAGGGCATGTAGAATCACACATTGGCTTACGTGTATCCGCCTATCACGTGGAGCTTCTTCCATTAATCCGAAAGATTTTCTGTGATACAAGGTAAGCCAACACTTGTTTGATAGGTTACGTATTTAGTTTCTGTACTCAGAAAGACGTAGAAAACTCTTCAACACCTCAATATACCGACTCTCATCACGACAACTTCTAAAGTTCTATAGCACCGACCGAATTTTGACCGAATCGAAAGTCTTCTCATAGTCCACATACTCCAGACATAATGACATATTATTCGCTACAGTCTTCATACGTAGTATTTGTTACGTAAGTAAACGTCGAGTTTACTTGTGAGACAATTCGTAATGACTGCTGCCTTTTCAAATAATTCTTAAGATTTAAGACTGCTAAATGTTTCTTTCTAAAAATTTCGTTGATATTTTGCAAGTACACCGATGAAGATGGCATTTTGCTGCCTATGACCGAATTCCTTCGGCTATGCGTCGAAAGCATTCAGTTTCAATTATTACTTCGATATTGTTATATGGTAAAGAGTGTAACTAATTAATTGTAATAATTTTTTTTAAGTGTAAGTGTACGAATAGTTATATGTTTTGATAT